GCACGCGCACACGCTTGCGCACATTGCTGTAACTGGCGGGGAAAAAGATTGTATACGGATTGTTGTGAGAGACCGAAAAAAAGGAATCTATCATAAGATCACATTACATGCAACGTAAGTTGGTTCCTCTAAATTGACGATCACTCCTCATGACACGACTTCTTTACGATTTTTTTGCTTTCCGTTTTCGGTTGCTCCTGTCGGCAATGCATGTGTGTGATCCAAAGCTCTCATTTTTCCATTCACGAAACGTTAATTGAATGCTCAAATACGCAAACTATATTATCGTGTGCTCAAGATTTATATTTCATACGTCCAATTTGAGGCGAGCGGAACAACAAAAGGAGATCGGAGGAATGAAGAAGAGCAGGAAAAAATGGCAGAAAAAAAAACCCGAACAAATAGCATGAATTGAGAATGGAAGGCGACCGAAAAAAGGCGACCGAACTCGAGAAAAAAAGGCTCGAAATACTTTTTGATGCACATTAGCGATAACTAGCTTTATGAGATGATGAGAGCACATCAGCGAGTCTGCATGCTTCTGCTGAACATATTTCTCTGTCCGATTGAATGAACCATCTCTAATTTGATATGTCTCAATAATCATATTTTCGTTCCCTTGTTGTTGTTGTTGGACTTTTTTTTTTAGTTGCCAGTTGGTTAATGTGGCTCTCATTTTCGCCCATTTTTTTCGTTTCATCATGCTGTCGTGGCGGTTGGTTCCCATGTTCGTTTGTTCCCATTGCGGACACACCACTCAGCATGGCATCCAGCCATTTAGGAAGCAATTTTCGGCGTGCAAGCCAAAGAATTTGATGATTAGCAACTCATCAGCTCAAGCTCAAGCTCTTAAGAAAACAAACAACAATGTTAATACCTCCCCAATATAAAAATGCTGATAAAATACACACACACACACACAAAACCAAATGCCATAAATATTAGTATATGATCAGTGATCAGACACGCTTGCACATCATTCATGAGATAGCTTTGCATGCAGCCAACCGGTGAATTAACCCACAAAAAGATATAATCGCACACACACGGTGAGAGAGAGAGAGAAACACATTCGAAAAATGTCTCAACAGGTAACAAAACGAAACTTATAATTAGTTCGTAATTGTTAACGAGATTAGGAAATGCTTTTTGATCATAGTTTATGCCCTCCATTAATCTTTTGAGGGGAATGAAAAAAAAAGTAACAACAAAAAGAACACCGAACGATGGTGCGGCTCTACATCGATGAACAATGGCATTCGGGACACATTTACCTTTACCTTGTTAAATTGACGAATGTCGTTATCGCTTTGTTAGGTTAAGTGGTGATTTATACTAAAAAAATCATATCTTCTTCATTCGCCTTTTTGTTCTCTTCTCATTTTTAATTGAACCGATCACAAATGTGGATTTACAGGCAACAAAAACAATCAAACGGGATGAATCACACTCGAAACACCGAACGACATCCAATGCTGACAGCATGTGCGTGTCACGAATCCCAATTGAAGAGAAAAAAAAAGAATAACGTTCCCGAACCCCGTTTGAATGAATGTTTTATTGCATTTATACCGAATCATCACTTGTTTGATATGTCATTATGATGGTATTCTGTCAGCGTAACATTTTGGGTGACATTGATGCATCAGCTATCATTTCAAATTGATTCGAATGAAAAACCGATTTATATTCGAGTTTTGTTTTCTCATCGGTTGTTGTTCAATTCCCATTCGGATTCTAAGAGCGTCGAGCGGTTCAGTTGAATTTCAATTTCATTCGAGGCAATTGATGACTAATCGGCATTTGGGTTCAACAAGGTTGAAAAAGCAGCGGATGTCTTATCTTTTTCTCATACACCTTTGATTTGGTCAGTTTCATATTTTATTTTTATTTTTTCATTCCAAAGAATTTGCCAGTTTGTCAATTCGGATTTGTGTGACGACCAAAGAAAAACATTCAAGCATGAAATGGCAATTTAGTGAAATGCACACGGTGTGTTCTTCGTCGGTTCGAACCAAAAGCCACCCGGAGGCATATATTCAATGCGAGACGAAGGCGTTTTGATCAGAAGACCAATTTACCGGACAAAATTAGTTGCTGCTCAATAATTTCAGATATAAATTTACACACAGGCATTTCGAGCCAATTAATCAGGTTCAGCTTTTAATAAAAGGACCGATTATATCAGGCAACGTACACACATTTGCGAAGAAGATCAATTTCATGTTTGTAATGGACCTTCTGAATGGATTTTATCAAAGGTGTCATTTGGATCCTTTTTTTCAATTTTATTTTTTTTTTTCGAGTATACTTCAATTTTGTCGAAGTCTGTTTTTAGATCGAATCAAGTTCATTGGATTAAAAAAAAAGCTTTGATTTTTTTTTAAATCTGCAGTCCACAAAGTGCTGCTCGCATATTCTACAATAATATCGCCCAATATTATGTGAAGCGACAAAACGAACGCAAAATCAAAGCAAAATGTTCAAATTATCATTGTAGACCACCCAAATAAAAATGGACCGAATAATGGTGAAGAGAAAATAACTACGAAATAAAAAAAAGCATGAGCGCCAAAGAAACAGAAACAAAAAAACGTTGATCACCACAGTGCGAGTCCGGGCGAGCAAGTGAGAGAGAAATGTATCCAAACAAAAGAAGAAAAAGACAAATAACTAAGAAGAAGAATGTATTCTAAAACAGCGAAAAATAAAATCGCTCTTTTTTTCTGTGTTCACAGAACGATGCAACAAACCAGTTCACAAAGTTTACATACACATTTTTTGTTCTTTCCTAAAAAGATTTCAAACGGAGTTCAATGTTACAACAAGCATAATATCAATGCAAAAAAAACGAACAAATCAGTATGCTTGTTGTGCATATAGTTCTTCCCGGTTTAGTTTCGCTAATTCGTGTTTGCAAAATGCCAGCCCGCTTTTGCTGCTGCTGCTGCTAAGATTTTTATTCTTCGTTGTTGTTTTTCTCGTTCGTTTTTTCGCTTGCAGTGTGCACACAATCATTTTTCATTTCGCTTGAATAAAACCAAAAACAATTTCACAATACTTTGCATCGTGATTTTTCCTGCCCTGAAGCAAGAGCCAATGTTGATGCTCTTGGTATTTGCCACACAAATGCTAAGCAAAATCCTTGCCGTATCAATATCATTGTGCTGAGGACTCAATTGAATTGGTACAATATTTCCGTTCTTTCTTCTTCTTCTCGTTGTCACATCGCAATTCAATTGTTTTGTTTCATTCGATTTTAATGATTTTGATGCTCTTTTCGTCTTTTAATTTTATCCCAAAAAGATAAATACACACGCTTCGAGACGAACGTCATCGTGATTGGCTAGAAAATAGTCGTTGGCCAAATGAAATTCGCGAATTAAGGTTAAGGATGTGGTAAAAATGAACAAAACAAAACAGAACAAAAGTTATGAGGAAATCATGAAAAATGGAGCGCTGCAAGGGGAAAAAAAACGAACGAAGGACACACACACAAACATTTCGACGGCATGCGCTTGCCAATTTGTCCTGATCGAAAACTACGTTTTTGTTGCTGTTGGTGGTGGTGTTTTGGCCCTGCAGTCGGTTGAAATGCCACCGTAATCGCGTACATCAGTCATGTTGTCAAAATGCACCTCTGAGCGTTGAAATATCGATGGTGATGTCAAACAATAATCCAAACCGAAGCAATATTCTAAAGCTATTCAGCTCGGAAAGCGTCATCGACTTCGTCCCAATCATCCCAAATAAAAAGAAGAAGAAGAAGAAGAAGTTCAACTCAAACAAACACGATAACAAATGATTTCCCCCGAGAAAGTCTAAAGAAAATTAGCTGGTACGATGCAAAAGACAAATTGCATTTAGCCAGGAGCGAATCATCGGATGGCTTTTTTGTTGTTTTACGCTCCATTTTTTTTCTCTCTTCTCTCGACATTTTCATCAGTGAAACATTATGCAAATCGGAATGTAATGAGAGGTGAAGAATATGAAATGTGATATTATTTGATATCCGTCGGCGTTTTCTAGCCGCTATTTTTTTTTCTCTCTATGTTCTCCTCTTAATTATGTTGTATTTCGTGTGATTAAGATTGTCATCTGTCAGAATCGCATCTATTATTTCATCGATTAACAACTTTTAACTACTTGCCACAGTTCGATACGCATGCTGAATCAGCATTGCTGATCGACAACACTGTTGTTGTGTATATGTGTTCGGCTGGAGACGTGTTAAGATATGATTCGACCACAGCTTGCGACTGATGTTAACCGCACAAAGAATTGTCGCAAAATGTTTATTTTCACGCAAGTTTTTTTTCCCTTCCATTCATTCTGTGTTTCATTTATTTTCATTGCTAATTCTTCTTAGAAAGTAGGGGATCAGATGAATTGCATTATTTAGTAGGAATAAAGGTAATATGTAAATCTCTGAGCTTCGGTCAAAATCCTTGTCTTTCCAGTATTCTTTTTTGACACTGTTTTGCTGTTCACGTGTATCGTCGTACACGGTTTGTGTGCACATGAACGGCCGGCCCGAGCAAAAGAAATGAATTGCATGTTGGTCGAGAGGCATAAGCACGCCGCGCGCGATAAAATAAACGCAAATTATTTGAAATTGTTGCTGACAATGTAACCATTTAAGACTCAATGTTGAAGCACAGAAAAAAAGTCACACGACTGGTTTGTCGTCGTCGTCGTCGTCGTTTTTTTCTTTCATTTCATTTGTTCGTTTGTTCGTTGTACGGATAAAATGTCATTCGCATGGAAAAATTATTATTAATTTGTATTTTTTTGTCGCTCTTCGCCTTATTTTTTATTATTCCATTCCAATCCATTCCGTTTCATTCCATTTCATTTCATTCTAATTGCATAATTTCCTTTTTATCTGTATATGTGTGCATTTGTGTAATGGTGTCTGTGACACAGGCACTCGTATTATGTTGAAAAATGCAAAACAAAAAAGAAGAAGATGTGCAGAAAAAAAGAGCATTCAAACTTACCCAAACAGGCTGAACAACATTGTCCTTTTCGCGGTGATAACGGATTATTGCATGGTGTGTAGCACTGCATATTCGACTCCGTAACCACACCAGCCACACACTTAAAACTTGCACAAGGATCGTCTGGATCAGACCATTCGGCACCACTTGCATATCGTTCACCTTTGTAGATGCATTCTATTTTCGTCGTCATCGTCGTCGACGTCGTCGTCGCATAACGCATTGCAAATACATCACACACATAAAATGCGATGCACGAATGAAATATGAGAGCATTGAACAAAGAGAAAGGAGATTTAGTAAAGAGGAGAGAGAGAGAGCGAGAAAAAAAAATTACCAAGGAAAAAATCAGAGAGTCCGATTTTTTGTCCCCATCGAATTATTATACAATATTTTTGTGGCCAATTTACCTTTGCACTTTTCACAGCAACCGTTCTTCTTTTCCAACATGTAACAATCGTCAACGGCCGGACAGTTTTCCTGTTCACATTCAACAAAACCATTCTAGAATTTAAAAGAGATGGGTATTCTTAAATATTAAAACTGAAACACGATTTGGTGTTGCTTAAAATCGAAAATTCAATGAAAAAAAGCTAGCAATTTGTTTCGATTTGAATTTAATTAGAAAACATTAGGAGATTCGACGAAATGCAATCGGTCCAGCATTTGAACGCTTTCACCTTTTCCTGTTAAATGCCATTCATGTAGATGATAAATTTCCTTTCATCATATCAGCCGTAATAAATTGGTGTCTCGTTATTGTTTTTTTTTTTCATGAATTTGCACATATTTTCGACTGACACATTGACGGGCAGCGGAGAAAACCAGCAACCACCACAACAACAACAACAACACCAGCAATAATAAAAAGTGAGCGCGCAATGGAATTGAGAGTACGCGCACGCGAGCGCGCGACAATCGATTTGTTGAAATAAAAATACGAGATAAATTTATTAAACAAAATATCGTGTTTCTGCAATGAATTTGTTTTGTGCTCTTGTTTCTCTTTTTTGTTGTCTTCATGTGTCGAAATTCCAATTTATAGAAAAGCGCACCAGAACAACAACCGGCCCACTCGACACTTTCGTTGAATGTCTGGTTTATCGTTTGTTCCAGTTTTTTTTAATGTGGTTGTTGTTGTTGTTGTTGTTGTTGTGTTAATTTTGTTTTCTTCCATAAATCGAAAACTTAAATTCGTTCACGCTCAATGGTAATAAAAATAAAGAAAAAAAACTGTACGATCACACACACACACACACACAGAGAGAGAGAGAGAGAGAGAGAGAGAGAGAGAGAGAGAGAGAGAGACTGTGCATACATTTTGAGTGCAGTATCTTTACAAATGATAATTTTCTGCTCTCACAACAAGCGCTTGTGTACGCAAATCAGAGAAAAAAAGAAATGAGAAAGTGTCAAGTTAGGGTTAGTGTTTTCGAATAACTCCCAAATATGGATTAACCACGAAGCTATTTATTTCTTTGTGTTGGATTTTATGCGTGACACGCAAATGTTAGTCGAAATTCGTTGCTATCCCGTGTTATTAAGGGCATAAATTGAATTCAACGAAAGAAAAAAAGATAGAGATAGAAAAAACACACAAATCTTTACGATCGAATGACAATAACTTAATTTGCATAGCCAATGTTGAACTTGTTTGAATTAATTATTGCTTTTATATTTGAGACTTGACCTCCTAGTTCAACACGCGTACACACATTTATACGATGCCGACACGATCGCACGATTGCCAGTTGCCAGCCTTTCCGGAGACAAAATCAAATCAAGAATCTTTTTTTTTCTTCTTTGGTTTTTGATTTAGTCTTTTGTCGACGTTGAATCGCAAATTTGATACAGCGAGGCTTGGTTTTTTCGACGAAAAATACATGGACAATTTTTACATCAATTTATCGATATTCACTGCAGTTTTCATGTTGAACTTAACAATTTGACTGTGTTTATATATCGTTTTTTTCTCGATTGCACTCTTTGCTACGATCGTTTGACCGATTTTATTTTTCGTCAACTTCTTTATGTGTTATCTGAAAAATGTGCGGTAGAAGCACGGTGATAAGTGTGTGACCTTGAGAAATTTTTACTTTTGGTTTCTGTACTGGCCTATGAAGATTTGTTCGTTGTTCTCATTTGTCGATGTTTATCAGTCGACCCGAAAATATACTCGCAGCTATTTTTGGTGGCATGGTGTGTGTCGTATTTTGTTCATAGCAACACACCAGAAAAAAGAAAACTAAACTAAAAAAAAAAACAACAATAAAAATTTTAAGCCAATAACTTGGTGCTGATTGTTGCATACATTGTGCGCCCTTATATGATTGCGCGTTCCGTAGCCATTTGTAGATTAAACACCAATTGATTAAAAAAAACGACTGAACACGGCAAAATATACAAATTTATAGCCGAATAAAAATAACGATAATCACATATTTAAATGTCATTTACGCATTACAATCAGAAAACGAAGATCTCTGTCTGATAAAAGCAACCGAGAGAGAAGAAAGGAAGACTCAATTGAGCGAGTGAGTGAGTGAGCGAGCGCACGAAAGATTGCTAGAAAGAGATAAGTGGAATGAAAAAGAGCATCAGCGAAGAAAACCAGAGAAAGAGAGAGTGAGAGAATATATTACGAAGAAGACTGAGTAGAAAAATCACACAAGTAACGCGATACGAATGTATAAACACCGAACTAAATGATAATAACGACGTTGACAACAACAACACTAAGTGAAAAAAAAACAACGATGACGAACTGTATTAAGATGGCTTATCTCATGAAATACCAGCTACCGCGCACTTTTGTCCAACACTTGAGCAGCAGCAGCCAGTGTGTATACATGGCCAATGTGATTTGCCGCCGCCGCCGTCATTGTCGTCGTCTATGCGTCTCTACTGCTCTCTGATGAGCGCGAGCGCACACACGCATACATAGAATTGGGGCCTCTGAGCACCCAAAAACCTAAAACTTACTAACACAAGTGCACAATACCAATCAAAAATTTATTTTAAATATTCATCATCATTTGATTATCGATTCACTTTAAATTAAAATACACTGCCAAGTCAAAAAAAAAGAACTGGGCAAATCAAGCGAGCGAGCAAGTGAGTGAGCAAGAGAGAGAGAGAGAGCTTGATGTGGATAAAACGAGATGAGTAGCTGGCATCATTTTCTCAAATACAATTTTCCAGCTTTATTTGGCGCTGAAACACCGGCGATAGAGAAAAAGAGAGAGAGAGAGAGAGAAAGACGTGAGCAAATTTGAAAGCATGCCAATGCTTAATGTTTCACATCAAGCAATGCAAACTCGGTCGATGGTTTATTTATTTCTTTTTTATTTCGTCGACGAACACTGACAACTTGGCCGAATCAAACCAGAGATGGAGAAAATACTGACTTATGAAATGTGTCTATTTGGTTTTTCTTTCATAGAGTATTTCTGCTTCTTTTTTTATTTCATGAAATTCAGAAGATCGAAACAACAACAGAATGATACGAACGCAATGAAATGCAAACTAAACAGCCCATGAAAATGAAGAATGCATGAAAAAGAAGAAAAAGAAGGAGAGGAGGAGGAGGAGAAGAAAAATATGGAACAAAGTCCATTTTGAAATGAAACGCGTTCATGCTTTTTGATGTATGGCTGCGGCGGCATGATTGTGGCTACACAGAAAATATGCATTTGATATCGATGCACTGAAATCGAAACGAGAGTATGCAATTTTTATTTTTTATTTTTTTATATGACACATATATGTGTCGCTGAGCATAAAAATGGGAATACAGATCTGTTACAGCAACAACCGGACATAAAATATTGTTCCCAAAAAACGTTACATGAATTTCTATCCAATCTGGAAATTCATGTAACGTTTTTAGGGAACAATATTTTATGTTCGGTTGTTGCTGTAACAGATCTATATTCCCCTAGGGGCTTCCATGTATATTCCATCCAAGAAATATACACCCTAGGGGCGAGACACATACTATTCCCACTATTCCACTATACTAAAAACGCTATTCCCGCTATTCCACTATTCCGTCAAACGAAATGTCAAATTGCAAAATTTAAAACTGTTTTGTCGACCAGAATGTTTGCAACTGACTTCTATATTTGTTTTGCCTAGTTTTAGGCTAAGTTTGAAATGCCTTCAGCGAAACCAGTAGTATACGATTTTTTTTATGATTATCAGACAGTGATCCGTAACAATAAATGATGATAAAAACTAAATTTCTAGAAGTTTTTTTTTACTCTAGAACTGGAATCCTGCAAAACCGACTTTCCGCAATTCCCACTATTCCCACTATTCCATGCAGTGTTTCGCTTATGTACGGATTAGTCAAATCACTATTCCCGCTATTCCATGCAGTGTTTTGCTTATGTGTGGATTAGTCAAATTACTATTCCACCGCTATTTCACTATTTTCGAGCTAAATGGCTATTCCTATTCCACGTGTCTCGCCCCTAGTATACACCATAGATGACAGTCATACGAAATATTCACAATGCTGGCAAAATATGCACCATATTCACGGAATATACACGATATTCATGAAATATACACCTCATATTCACGATCGGTAACAAAGATTCGACATTGCCGTAAACACATATTTTTTACATGCTGTGTATATTCTGTGAATATGGTGAATAATATACACGGATTATATGCAATATTCACGAAATATTCACACAAATACGAATGTATATTTTGACTTAAAAGCCCCTAGGTATTCCCATTTTTATGCTCAGCGACACATATGTTGTTATATTTTTATGGTTGAAAAAAGTATATCAAGGACGTGGTGAAAGTCCTCTACATGTTTCCAATCGAATTGAACGTGGTCGTGTTGTTCTCGTCGGTGAGCGAATGAGTGACAAAAGAATGGATTTTGTTTGGTATAGGCTTAATGTGGTCAAACATTTGTGGTTGATTCCATTTCACTGAACACATGCTAGATTAAACGAATTGAGTAAGTTCAGTTTTAAGAGTTAATTGGTCGATTTTATTCTTCTGGTCATTGTTTTTGTTGTGAATCATAGCTTATGAGTGATCATAATATAATAATGGTAAATTTCATTGCACTTGTAGCATTGCTATAGAATTCATGTAACAAAAAAGCCGATCATGTGTCCCCTTTAATTTTAATATAGAATAATTGCCCGTCTCTTTGCATTTTACTGTTCGCAACACTGTTTGCTACGTCATTGTTTCAGCCATCCTCATTTTATTTTTGACCATTCGATGGAAAAGTGGGCTTTTCATTTGGTTCATCTTTCTCTTGCGTTACACACACATATCCACACATTATGCTGTCAATAAATAATTTGGTGTGGACCTGGTCCGATTTCTTTAAATGCATTAAATTCAAGAGAGAAAAAATGTAATTGATTATCCCACATATCCACACCTTGGATCAAAATAAAAGCGCACAGGTCAAACAAACGGCAGCGAACTGTGAGAGATAAAAAAAAACCTCGCAAATCAAAAAA